GGGAGTTCGGCATCACGTGAAAAAGGAGAGCCGGCAGCAAGGTCGATAGCGAGTCTGGCCAGGGAGGAAGCAGGTCTGGCTTGGTAGGCGGTTGCATTAATTGTTTGGCCATTTAGGGCACGACGATGGGAGTCAAAAGCAAGCGGCTGTGATGGATGATATTTTCTCTTCATGCAAAGATGCATCATCCATCATTGTAACTCTGAATATGAAAATAGTGATCTTTTAACCATATTTCCATAGTCAAATATTTGATAAAACATCATTTTATCCCTTTGGGGTATATGTAGTCCTCCCTTAAATTTAACTATTGCAACTTGGGTGAAATTTTCAGTTTCACTTTATGAACCAATTAGAGAATGATATCTTCCCCTTCTAAGATGATATATCGTTTATAATGGTGTGTTTAATTTTGAGACTGAAATTTAGAAATCAAATTTCCCAAAGAAATTTGATCTTTTCAAATATGCTTTTCCAAAAACTTTCATCAATAAGAACTTGTGGGTCTCAAAATGTCATCACATGCAATATTAATAGACTCGCTATGTGGTGTGAATAGAATGCCCATGTTAAAACAGTCATCATTAAAGTCATTGACCACTTATTCCTTATCCTATAAAGCTCTTACAACAAATCATTGCTATGGAATCTCCCTTCTTTGATTATTTCAGCCCATATTTCATCGAACCTATCCTTAGAATCACACTTGCTTAAATGCTCATAAAAGAGTTTTCTAACTTTATCATTGTTATTGAAGCAACAAACTTTTAATGGAACCATTTTAGAGATATGCCACTGACACAGTCTATGATGTGCTTGACGTAATGCAACTTTTATTGGAACCCATCCTTATAATCACACTTGCTTAAATGCTCATAAAAGAGTTCTCTAACTTTATCTTTGTTATTGAAGCAACAAACTTTTAATGGAACCATTTTAGAGATATGCCACTGACACAGTCTATGATGTGCTTGACGTAATGCAACTTTTATTGCCCTAGTCATTGCCTAGCCTTGATCATTAAATATTATTATTATATATTTATCACTTATTATATGTATAAATATTCTAAATATCCATGTAAATGATTTAATCATTTTCTCTAATAACAAAACCACCCAAGCATAATATTCTACCAATGATTATTAACTATGATAAATATGCACAAACTAAATTATATTTATTAGGCTTATAACTAGTATCAAATTATGACATATCCAAAAGCAGTCATAATTTATCTTACCTAAGCGTGTCAATATTTGACATGACCTGAAAACCCTAACCAAATCCGACACAAAAATTCCATGTTAGGGTCAACTTGGACCCGAAATGGGTCGGGTTCGAGTTCAACAAATCTACCCATTTCTGAAACTGGGTAGGGTTGGGTTGAATCAAAAACCCAAAATTGATCCCTTTTGACCTGAAAACTCATTTTTGACCCGTAACCATGAGATTAACCCATTTTTTTACCCGAAAATCAGAGATTTGCCCATTTTTTTACTCGAAAACTGACAATTTTTTGTCAGTCCTAGGTCATTCAGGCCATGTTGGGTTGACCCAGACCCTAAGCGGGTCGGGTTCAGGTCTAAAAAATTGATCCATTTACAAAAATATGTCAGATTTTGGTTGACCTGAATAGTGTCGGGTCAGGTTCGAGTCGTTAGTTTAGTGTACGACCAGAACCCAACTTGTGACCCAAAATTGACACCTCTAATTCTACCCATCTCATCAACTCAAAAAAAAAAAAAAAAAAACAATCTATTAAATTCATTAATTTGGACGTCAACCAATACGAACATTTCTTAAAGAATTAGTATCATCATATATAATTTTTATTCTTTTCTCTTTTTGAATGTAGTTGTATGCATTCCTCTTAGAGAATCTAACATTTTCTATACCTCCAACTTCATTTGCAAGATGGGAAAATGCATCAACGGTTCATATATCGTCTTCTATCTTTGATTTAAGAGCTAACGCTTTCTCATTACTCATATTCCTACATGATCTAAGTAGGTGTCGGTCTTCTAGCCTAGCCAATTCATGATTATGATTTTCAATATTTTTTTGCATTTTTCAATATTCATCTTCATCAACTGTAACCCTAATCATAGCTGGACAATCTGTTATGGTCTCTGATTTTGAAATTTTCATTTGGGAATTCAAATGAAGACCATTCTCAAAGCCAAATTTTGAACATGCAAAGTCATTGAATTTTACCTTTATGAAATTTGGCTAGTAACTACGATGATCCTTGCGAACACTAAAATCATTATCATGGGCATACCTGTAGTATAACTCGTATTCCTCTTTTTCATCCTTATACACATCCTGTGTATTAGGGAAAAATTTGAAGAAGATGAATCAAATCATTGGGTGTGTATAAGGATAACTAATACACGATTTGTGTATAAGCTTATAATGTACAAGCTTGTACACAATGTGAAAAAGCTTGTATAAAGTCAATGCATAATTAGAATTGATTGTGTACAAGCTTGTACATAATTAATACACAACTTGTATACAAACTATGTGCAAGCTGATACACAATCAATACATGTTGCTTGTACACAGTCAATACAAAGCTTGTACATATTGTGTATAAGCTTGGTGTACAAGCGTGTACACAGTTAATACATATTGTGTGTATAAGGAATAAACTATATTCCAATAAAATTCCTTTTGTAAAAATTCTATTTACAAATTAGAAAAAAAATTTCATTAGAGAAAAACAAATAATTATCATGTTTACGAACCTTAAAAATTATACATTTATAGGAAACATAGTAAAATTTGGGAGTAGATTTAAATTTTCCAATAAATTGAATCCTACAATACCTTCAACCAAATTAACTTCAGCTTCATGCAGTAAACTCACCGTCGTTGGTTGCAGATTTGTTATCGTCAAGTCTTCCTAGGTGTTTGCTTGTCGCCTTTTAGCCTTTGCATTCTGTGAGCAAGTCATCTCCTCGCAGAATGTAACGCCCTCTTCCAAACCAGTCTTCATCTTCATATGTTGTTCCTCATTTTTTCTTTCTTATTAAGTATCAAAAGTTTTATTCCGTTAAAATCCTAAATAATTAGAGAGCTTTCGCGGGCGGGTTTTTTCCCTTTAAAAGGAGCTTCAATCCTAAACAATAAATTGAACAAGATGGTGAAGTACTTTTACATAAGGTCAAAACTCAAAATTATCACCTCTTGGCCGGGTCGGGTCATCGGACTGGTAAGAAAAAAAATAAAATATAATATAATTTAAAAATCAACGTGTCATGATTTCATTGGAGTCCGGATGCATAACTACGTCTGAACTCTGCAGGTAATAATTTCTCCTAAAATAGAAAAGCTATTGTTTTGAATTACAAGAACACATAATGCTTTAGTGGACGATGATTTGCATAGGCTTCATTTAGAACAACTTCCTTATTACTTTTAGAAGTCACTTTCAAATAAAAAAATTTTTAACTAGAAAAATAGTTTAAAAAACAGTAAAAAAACGGAACCAAACAGTGCTAACCACCCCCCCTTTTTTTTTTTTGTTAAAACCCACGGAGGGGCCTACGTATTAATAACAAAAATCGGTTACAAAGTCCTTAAAAGGACCAACCATCTTACTACTGCTCCGAAGAGTTACAATCCAAAAAAGAGAGAAAAAACCTAGAAGCCGGTCGGTCATTATCCTATGATTACAAAATTGAAAGTAAATACCTATCGGGCTGTGAGACGACAGCACCCAAAAAAGGAAGATCCAATAAATAGCTTCCGGCACGAACTTCCTGCAAAAACTCAAAAGGAAATAGAAATATTAGAGAAAGAGAGGAAAGAAAAGAAGCTTGCAAACATTAAAGCTCCCAAGACAGCAATTACTAACGTGCCTGCAAGAAATACTCCAAAAGAAAACATTAGAATCACTCATAAACGGAAGATTGGAAAAACTTCCAGAATATGATTCCCATCCAAAACAGGAAAAACCAACTGGCAGAGAATGGAAAAGTTGATAGTACTCATCCATTTAACATACTTCCCTCTATCAAAGCAAAAACTGATAGTCTTAGAATGCCAGAAAAAGTCAAAAAAACATATCAAGCGCCCAGGACTCTCAGTCCCCAGAATGAGCTTCAAAAAATTAATGATAGTATGGAGTAAACAATGATAATTGCTAGAATTCTGGATGATAATACCGAAAAGTAAAGTATATATATATATATATATATGTTCCCCGGTTTAACCATAATCTCGAGATTACCATCTAAATGAAACTGACATTTATCAACATCCAGGTTAGGAACCCAAACAACATGACAGCGACCAACATGAAGAATAAAACAAATCAAAATAACAATATTAGTAATCCACTGAAACAAAGTTTGATAAATTTCTTTCATATTTCACTCGTTTTTATTTACAATTTTAGATTTTTTTTTTTTTTTGGAAAAAATTATGGCCTTAGCCCTTTTCATTAATATAAACTTGTTACATGTAATGAAGGAAAAAAAGAAGAAATGCTAAGATCTTATCGAAGCTTACAAGATCCAAAAAAAGGGTATAAAGCAAAAACCCCATAACTAACCTGTTACAAAAAAGAACTTAATAAAAAAAAGGATAAACATAGATAAAAATGAAGCAGGTAAAAAACAAGAGTAAACATTTTTGTTTGTTGCGTCCTTTCCTCCTACATTTGGCCGGACAACAAGCCCAGTGATGAGAAATTAGTTTTACTTTGTTTTGTAGCTAGAGAAATGTTGATGATGAACAGACAGCACATGATGCATTAACATCTTTTCTGAAAGAAAGAGAACTCGTTTTCTTCTGCTTGTTCATTTCTGCTCATGACTATTCTGATTCTTCTTGTTCATTTCTGCTCATGATTATTCTGAACATATAAGGTAAGAATATCCCAAAATTTTGTTTGATATCTTCTAAATCATTATTTTTTTTAAATTGCATTGATCTTCAACGTTTAGTAAAAAAAATTGTCTTTTTTATGAGAGTCAGCTGCTGTAAAATTTCGGCCTTTTTATACCCTCAGCAAGAGAGAAACGAGAGAAACCAAAACAAAGAGAAAGAATGGGATCCGACTCGAAGCAGGTTTCCAAAATCCCCAAAATCGACCTCTCTGGTCTCCACTCATCCGTTGCCGGCGGTGAGCGTTGGGAAGCTTCGAAAGAGGAAGTGGCGGCGGCTCTTTTCTCTCACGGCTGCTTTGAGGCGTATTTCCCCTCCTTCTCGCATGAGCTCCTGGAGGCGATGTTTGGCAGCGCCTTGCCGGAGATATTCGCTCTGCCATCGGAGACCAAACGACGTCTGAAGTCCGACGAACTCTACCAAGGTTACATCGGACAGATACCACACCTGGCCTACGAAAGCCTAGCGTTCGACGACCCCCTCTCGCCGACGGCCGTTGAGGAGTTTACCAAGCTCATGTGGCCAGAAGGAAATAGCAACTTCTGGTAAGGTGTTTGGTTTTTTTGCGTTGAAAGATTATTTTGTTTTCTTGAAATTTATTGCGCGTATTGAGTTTTTCTTTTCAAACAAATTAAATATTAATTTTCTTAAAAATTTTGACTTTTAAATTTTTTATGTCTTATAAATTATAATATCGAAAATTTTAAATGTATAATTTATTATTTATTAAAAAATATGTCCAAAAGGTCTAGATGAACAAAATTATAGATGAATTGCTTATTAAAATTCTCCGGAAGTAATTTTAAATTAAACTGATTCAAATTCAAATAGTTTAGAATAAGGTTCGATTTAGAATTGATCAAACCTTATTCGGAAGAAGCTTCTTTAACACATCCTATCTAGCGATAATGTTCATACTTCATAGCGAATTTGTTTGGAGCAGATTTAAATAATATTTAAATAAGATTTAAATAAAATTCGATCAAATCCATATCAAATTTATTTTAACCTTATTGAATTTTGATTCAAACAAAATGCAAATTCCAACTAGTTTAATTATCCGAAATAAAACTTTTAAATATATTTTTCTAAGAAATAAAACAATGAGAATATTTATCCAATTATTTTCTAAGAAATAAAACAATGAGAATATTTATCCAATTATTTAATCAATTTTTTTGAAAAAAAAAAGATAAAATCTCATCATTAAATTTTTTTAAAATTAACATAAAATGTGAAAGCTCCATATAATGCAAAATTATGAAAAAAAAAATGGTATCCCAACAAGATATGCCAATCAAGACTTACCAATTTGAGCCTCTTCTATCGACAAGCTGCCAAATTGCAATTTTGACTTTGCAAAAGTTTGGACCGGTTTGGCATTTGGTGCACATGTCAAATAAATGGATGATTATGTTATAATTATTATTAATTTAATTTAGAAAAAAATAGTCAAAATAATCTTAGAAAATTTTGATCATCATAAATCTAAAATTTTATTTAATTCAATAAATTTATTTTAAAGCAAATCATAAATTTTATTTTTTGATCTTTTCTAAATAAATCTAATAATTTTAAAATTAATGAAAAATAGATTAAAATTTTGTTATCATGACAAAATAATTTTTTTTAATATATTAAATATAAGACGGCATGTATGTAAATTCCTCAAGAAATCAAACATAAACGCCATATCGCACAAATAATCCAACAAACCGAATTGATTTTCAAATTCTGATTAACGCATATCATTTGAACTTCTGGTAATCAGCAAGACAGTGGAGGCCTTTGCAAAAGTTTTGCATGAATTGGTGGAGATGGTACAGATGATGATAGTTGAGAGCTTGGGGGTGGAGAAGCACTATGATTCTCTCGCGAGTTCAATTACATATGCAGTTCGGCTGTCTGAGTATGGAGTTCCTTTAAATCAGGATACAAAGATTGGTTTGGATCCTCATAAGGACCCAAATCTTGTCACAGTAGTTTGCCAGAGCAAGATTGAAGGATTAGAAGTTCAGACTTTTGATGGAGATTGGGTCAGCGTCGATTCATCTCCCAACTCTCTCACTGTCATAGTTGGCCAAGCTTTTCAGGTGAAGAAAATATTCAGCTCTTTGAAAGAAGATATATACATATATAGTGGAATTGACCATTTTTTTATACTAATTTTTTAATTATAATAACCTTTCTAATTGCAAATGCTCCAAATTAGTATTAAAACTATCATTTGTAAATAACTTACTACAGGCATGGAGTAACATGAGAGTGCGAGCCCCAAATCACCGTGTGAGGGTTTTAGGAAAGGAGAAGAGGTTCTCTGCCCTTTTTTCTTCTCGGCCGAGCCCTAACTCCATGGTTAAAAGTCCTGAGGAGCTTGGTGATGAGGACCATCCTTTACTTTTCAAGCCTTTCAACTACACTGAGTTCGTTAAGTTTCTCTACTCTGAGGAAGGAAGGAAGACCAAGGATCCTTTCAATGCTTATTGTAGAATCAGTAATGAAGAAGCTGCATGAGATCTTTTATATGTATTGAGAACTTTATAAAGCTAGTTTGCATAAATCTGTATTCGGTGGTGTTATGGTACGTACGTACTTATTGAAGCTATGGCTTTTCTGAATGGTTGAAGGAATTAAAGATGTAGTACTGTGTGATCTTACTGTCATTTGCATGGTTTTAATAAAAAGATCTAAGCTTACTTAAAAATTTAAATGAAATAAGCAAGTTAAGGCCAGGATGTGCTATGCTTTCTGTATAATCACGTTGTGGGATAAGTGGTCAAACGAGGTGAGGAAAGCTGCTGGTTGGGTCAAATATATTCTCGATCAATTGCATCATATTTGGGCTTCCTTTGCTATGATTTATAATTTCTTTTGTTTTTCTTGAAATTTCTAAGAAAGGAGAGAGCTCAAGCAGTACTACATGCTATGAATTATCCAACTTAAAAATTTTCTAGAATGTAAAATAAAAAAGTCTATTCGCAAGTTGAATTAACTAACTAAAAAAAGAAAAAAAAAATCTTACCCTCATTATTCCAATAAATAAACTTAGGAAAGGTCAATGAGTTTCAAAGGTGCATGAAGATCTAATAAAAATGATGAGTTTGAAATATTATGCTTATGACTATTATTTAAAAAAAAGATCGTAATCATAATTTTTATTTGAGCATTATTTTTTTAATGTAAAAAAAATTGTACTAAAAAGTCACTTTCTACAATAGAAGAAGTTATTTTTATTATAACAATTTTATAAAGCATTAAAAAAGCTATCCCAAAATAAAGATATATATATATATATATAAAAGTTATTAAAAGTGTATATATATGCATAACTTTATTGATAATCAATAGAGCAAGGAACATATTAAATAACTTCAAGGAGAAGAGGAGAAGTCGGGCAAAATGTGTGTTATTGATGGGCAAAATTCGCCGGAAAATGTTCAAAATATGTCAGAAATAAGCATTTCTGACGTCGAAAAATTTTCAACGTTTAAACGCGCGTCAGAAACATGTTATAGTTGCAAAATAATCTGAAAAATCTGTTGGAAATATTTCTGGCGGATCTAAACTCCGCCGGAAAAATAAAAAAACAAAAACAAAAAAAATAAGAAACCTGCCCGTATTTTATTTAAAATAATAATTATATTTAAAAGCTAAGTTTTTTTATGATCAAAATAATTATTATAATTAATTTAATAATAAATTATTAAATATTTAAATTTATTTTATTTTAGCAATATTTAATTTAATTTAATAAAATGAATAATTTAAAATATTTCTAATTGTCATTTTCCAGAAAATTTAAGATTAATTCTATTGCAAATCCGTTAGAAAAGTCATAAAAAATTCCTCCGGAAATACCTCCAAAAAATACGGCGGAAATATTCTGCTAGAAATTCGTTGGAAAATATGTCGGGATTTCTTACGGATTTATTTTCGCTGAAAATTCTGCTAGAAATCAACGTTTCTCCTGTAGTAAGAGGTTAGAGATTTTGCAACAGGAGACAGGAGTTGATGGAGATGGTATAGAGGATGATAAGTGAGAGTTTGTGGGGTGAGAATCAATCATCATGATTCTTATGTGTCTAAGTGTTGGAGTTCCACTAAACCAGGAAACGAATATAACTTTGTATCTTCATGTCGGGCCAAATATGCCCACTCTTTTCTGGTGAAAATTAAAATTCAATTAAAACTATTGTGATGAATGATCAGCGCTTGAATCTGATCCATCCCAATTCTTATATTTGTTTATAATCAGTACTGCGCTACGATCGAGTTCAACAGCATCATTCATCAAAATAGTTTGATATTTTTTCACCTGAAAGGTGAAGAAAACCAATGCCAGAACAGAGGAGGACGATGACTCAAAAGGTAAAGATAAATTGTATTTCTTGATTACCCTATTACAGCCAGATTACATATATATAAAGAGTAAATAGGAAGTGATAGGTACACGTGTCGACATGACATAGGCTAGTATTAATCTCAACAATAATTCGAATATAATCCTGTAGCTTAACAAAAGGATAACCAGATTTGGATGGACTTGAAGATCCAAAGCAAAATTAGTTTCCTGATTTGAATTAAGACTTTTAAATATGTATTAATGATGTTCAAAATTGAGCAATTTTTTTCAAACTGCCTTCTTTTTTTTTTTTATAAAATCAGAGTTTTGTATATATAAAAAAATTAAAAGACATCAGGGTTTTTTTTTTAATTGTTGAAGATGGCAAAATTTTTCAAGGATTTTTTACTTGAATGTTTCAAAGAAAAGCGTGAGAGGAGACACCTTCATCGTATGATAAGAGGGAAGAAGATGAAGACATTGGAAAAAACTGCCACAATTGAAAGCATCTCACAAAGTACATCGGTTTGCGATGTGCTTATCTTGAAGTTTAGGATAGATTTCTTATTATTTTTTAAAGCAGTTTTTTAATACAAAAATTTGTGAACTATAAATTTTTTAAACTAAAAAGCTACTTTAAAAAACAATAACAAAACTGTTCCAAGCGAAACCAAATGCTTGATTTGGGACAACTTTTTTGGTGCTTTCAAAAGCATTTATATTTGTACTAAAAAGTCAATTTAGAAAACAATAAGAAAGCTGTTTCAAACGAAACCTATAACTTTCTTCTCTTGTTAGTTATTTTATTCATCGTAATATCATGCAAGAATCTTTTTGTTTTTCTTAAAGAAGTTAGAAAGTTTAAATGGTTATTTGAAAGTTAAAATGAGAAATCAGGTAGCGGCAAGTGAATTTTTTGTACTTTAAAAATCATCTACATTGCTTTTTGAGTTATTTTTTGAAATTTAGTATTGTTCAATCTAATGACATTTTATTTTTTATATTCAAGTTAGATATTACGGTACATAAAAAAGCTTCTAGTGATATGTCTTATACTGTAACTTGGTGAGTGATAGGCCACATAGTGATAGTTTTTATTTTATCAGAGTTATCTTTGTATATTTCATTGCCTTCGTTGATGAAGTTGAATGAATGACTGTGAGGTGTGCTCTAAATTATATCACCATCATACACCATCAACAAAAAATTCTTTCACAGCGCTTTATTTGAGATATGGCGACGGCTATAACCGCCGCGAGAAGGCTAACAATTGAACAAAAACTACTGCAAAAGCATTGCATATTGTCATTTGTTGCAAAGTGTTTGCACAACAATTTTAAAAACTGACATGAAATGCGTTACTTTTAGCAGTGGTTTAAGCTGCATCAAATGTTGTTGAATCGTGTTTTTTAAACTGCTACTATCAAGTGCGGCGAAAAAAAAAAAAAAGATTTTTATGATGATATATATTTCCTATATCGTTTGTTAATTAATTGTACCATTAATTTAAACTGCAATAATTTGAACGGGCTTCGAAGTCGCGGGAACGGCTATCTCTAATACACCACTGATGCATCCAATTACTTATTTTTGCTCCGCAAAACATCAACCAAACACCCTAATTTTAGAAATACATGCAATTACTTTATCCTCCTAATTCAGCATACCAAACAGCCCCTAAGTTTTAAAATATAAAGAGTTTCATGTTGAACTGTAGCTGATCACGTTCAGCCTGCCTAAAACCACCCACAAACTACCTTCCGACGTCACCCACGATCACATGATCCCACTACCCACTCCTCTCGACAAAGAAAACCATTCACACATAAACAAAAAGGAAGCATTCAAATGTTAGGGATTTGGATACAATCATATCTTACTTCTTAAATCCATTAGAGTCTTTTATGTTATCTTAAAAATTTTTATTTAATTAAAGTAGAAGAATTTTTATTCGTACCCTCTTAGCCTCCAATTATTCTAGGAGAAAATAAAATACGACATGCAAGAAATAAAATTAGAAAAATATGTCATTTCTACTGTGCAATCAAATTAAATAAATTAATCAATTAAACTAAATACTCAAATTGAATGTCCATGTGATATGTACCACTTAATATTATAGCTCAGGGTTTGCAGGAAAAGTAAAGTGCTCTGCATCACTGATATTCTTTTCTTAAGACTGACTTTGAGAATGAGATTCTTCTCGATCTTCACTTCTTCGTCCTTCTGTGAACTCCTTGAATCCGTCGGGTCCGGATATCCAAATGAAAAGAAACTCTTCCTTGAAGGGGTGTTCTCTTTTCCCTTTGGATTCTCAAAGTATCATAATCTAGATATCCAAATGAAGATGGACTCTCCCCTAATGGATGTCACCCTTCTCTTTAGATTCCAAATTTGATATTTAATACCCAATCTCAAATAGTCACTTTGACATTTAAAACTCCATTAAAATTAAATTACATTGAATAAAATTAAAAATCTAGACTCAAATACAACCTACAGGATTATTCTAAGCAATTTGAATTCAAATAATCTCAATCATTTATATATCAAAATTAAATGCTCAAATTTAAAGCCACACTTGAGCATGCTCTTTTAATTTTAAAAGGGAACTTAGCATTTTGCACAACATCTACATAAAACATTGTTAATTTAAAGCTTATTTTATTTTATTTGTCCCATTTAATTTATATGTCTTGTATGAGCATAACCGCATGCATAAGATTATGTTAGCATTTAAATCATCCTGATCTAAGGGTAATCTAACGCCCATCACATCAATATACAGATTATAAAAATTAAATAAACAATCATATCAAACAATAAATTTTCAAATAATATTGATACGTACTACAAAAATTAGCTTGATCGGGCACGAATCTCGAAGCAAAAGCTAGTTGAAAACTTCAAAAATTAATTCAGAGAGCACCCGAACTCCGATTTCAGCGAGCTTACAACATAGCAGAAAAGTAAACAACATCTAGGTGGCTCTTGACTTAGGGATAAATGTATCCCTCCTATTTAGGGGCACATTCTTTCGTACTTGTCGTATATTTTAATTATTGATATGATATAATGTGTTTATTCATTATCCATATTGCAAGTGAGCATTTTCACATGATCTGATAATTAGCTTTGTAATAATTATTGTTGCACAAATTTCTAAAGAGTTCACATATATTTTGATTAACGTGCATAAATATCAATCTTCAAATTATGAATTATCTAATATATATAACTAAACATAATTATGTTATAACTCTTATTAGGAACTATTACTGCGATATGATATGCATATAATATATGCTTGTGTGTATGATTCATATAATGTCGGTATAGAACCATATTGGTTATTGGTTAGTCGGGGCTGACGGGCCTCAAGAGTGACGACTTCATAGAAAATCATTGGATTTCCTTGGGATTGGTACTTACCTTTCTCGACATGGTATTAGTAGACCGACTATAAATATTTAAATATTGATATATAGAGAAAATAAATGACTAATAAGTTATTGGTGGATGTATAAATATCAAATGTTGTAAGATAATATATATGTATGCATTTGAATGCAATGATTATTAATTTGAACAAATAATTCTTTGTGAGTTTTGTTATATACAAAGATTTAATAAATGAAGTATGTATATTGAAATTCTACTATTTTATAAATTATTTACTGCCATTTTATTTTAGTGCTTAATTATTTTCCATTTATGTCCCTTTCTTTGCACATATTTATGCTCAATATCTTGTTGTTTATGTTTTACTTTCTGATTTAATTCTTGCAAACTCACACCTACTATTTCATGGTTCCAGGTTTGGTAGTTTGGATTGCTTTTGATGGAACTTTTAGGTTCATGAATCAGGTTTGTCTATGATATGTACTTAAGGCTAGATATATTTAATTGATTCAATTGTGTAATGAAAATTTTATTTATATTTGATGGACATTTAGTATATGGTTGGATTTAGATGCTCCAATAATTTATTAATTGGTGGATACAAATTATTGAAGTATTATATATTAATTGCTCTGAAATTATTTTATAATTTTTTCTTTAGGATCTTGTGATTTTCTTCCATGCTCGGTGACGAGGTGTGATAGTCTTCATGTTCTCCTCTCATTTTATATTATGATCGACCGTGTCTCTTCTTACGCTTTTCTTTGAAACATTCAAGTAAAAATCCTTAAAAAATTTTTATATTTTTTTATATACAAAACTCTGATTTTAGAAAAAAAAAAGAAGGCAGTTTGAAAAAATTTGCTCAATTTTGAACATCATTAAAACATATTTAAAAGTCTTAATTCAAATCAGGAAACTAATATTGCTTTGGATCTTCAAGTCCATCCAAATCTGGTTATTCTTTCACGTGAAAAAAATCAAAAACTATTTTGATTATAAACAAATATAAGACTTGGGATGGATCAGATTGAAGCGCGCGCTCATCATCTTGTCTAAGAAAATTGAGGATTGATAGATTACAGTTTTGTGATCTTCACCTGAAAAGAATGAGCATATTTGGCCCGACATGAAGATACAAAGTTATATTCGCTTCCTGATATAGTGGAACTCCAACACTTAGAGATGAAAATCATGATGATTGATTCTCCACCCACATATACCCACCGCGGGGTGGCCTGGTGGTGGAGAACTGGCTGGCCATAGGCCAGGTACCGAGTTCGAATCCCCTCGGCGCTTTGTGCAAGCCTTAAGTGTTGACCCGTGTAAATTGGTGTGTGTTGCATGCTAGGTCGACCGGGTTATCCTCTAACCGGGATGATCTGTTTTTATATTTTATTCTCCACCCACATATCATCCTCTGTACCATCTCCATTAACTCCTGCTGCAAGAAAGAACAAGCACAAAGGACTCAGGTTGCATGGCAAAATCGAAATAACCGGCCAAAAACTTCATCAGAGATGATCAAAAAGGCCCCTGGTTGCCACCACGATCATCCAAGGGACAGTGGGAGAGAGCTGCAATCATCATTGTCCTTCCAAAAAAAAATCTCCAAAGTGATTTGCATTAGAATCAAACTCTCACCTTTCTTTCTCTATTGATTATATATATATATATATATATATATATATATATATATACTTTTAATAACTTAAAAAAAGCCTCACTATTTACATGTCTCAAGTTCAAATTATCACTGAGAAGATCATCTTACTTATGTATTTCTAATTAATTAAGAATTTTTTTTCTTAAGAAAGAGGACATTTGAGCATGGAATGAGACTGCGAAATAAAAATTTCCAAACATTTGATCATATCTCTATTCACAATTAAGGGATACTCAAAATCATTTTTCTAATAATAAAAAATCACAAAAAGTGTTCTAAACAAAAGAAAATGAAAGAGAATTATGCCATTTAAATATCTAATTTTTTTTCTTAAGAAAGAGGACATTTGAGCATGGAATGAGACTGCAAAATAAAAATTTTCAAACATTTGACAAATTTAGATTTCGTTTTGAAACAACTTTCTTGCTGCTTTATAAAAATGTTATAAGAAAAATAACTTCTTATAAAGCTATAGTAGAAATTTTAAGCGAGCTTAGATCTTTTTGTTAAAAGCATGCAAATGATAGTAAGATCACACGGTACTACATCCTCACATCAACCATTCAGAAAAGTCATAGCTTCCATAAGTCATCAGTATTAGCATAACACCACCTAATACATATTTGTGAAAACTTTATGAAGTTCTCAATACACATAAAAGATCTCAGGCAGCTTCTTCATTGCCGATTCTAAAATAAGCATTGAAAGGATCCTTGGTCTTCCTTCCTTCCTCTGAGTAGAGAAACTTGACGAACTCAGTGTAGTTGAAAGGCTTGAAAAGTAAATGATGGTCCTCATCTCCAAGCTCCTCAGGACTTTTAACCATGGAGTTAGGGCTCGGCCGAGAAGCAAAAAGGGCAGAGAACCTCTTCTCCTTCCCTAAAACCCTCACACGGTGATTTGGGGCTCGCACTCTCATGTTACTCCATGCCTGTAGGAAGTTATTTACAAAGGATAGTTTTAATACTAATTTGGAGCATTTACAATTAGCAATATCATTCTAATTAAAAAATTAGTATAATAAATAGATGGTAAACTCTACTTTCAAAGAATTGAATATTTTCTTCACCTGAAAAGCTTGGCCAACTATGACAGTGACAGAGTTAGGAGATGGTTTAACGCTGACCCAATCTCCATCAAAAGTCTGAACCTCCAATCCTTCAATCTTGCTCTGGCAAACTACTGTGACAAGATTTGGGTCCTTATGAGGATCCAAACCAATCTTCGTATCCTGATTTAATGGAACTCCATACTCAGACAGCCGAACTGCATATGTAATTGAACTCGCGAGAGAATCATAGTGCTTCTTCACCCCCAAGCTCTCAACTATCATCATCTGTACCATCTCCACCAATTCATGCAAAGCTTTTGCAAAGGCCTCCACTGTCTTGCTGGTTATCAGAAGTTCAAATGATGTGCGTTGATCAGAATTTGAAAATCTATTCGGTTTGTTGGATTTTTGAGGGGTTTACATACATACCATCTTATATCATCATTCTATTTATATATCTAACATCTAAAACTTAAATATTACATGCAAGTCACTTATAGATCAAATATGAGTGCTAAAAAAATAATAAAATTTATAGGATGATATGGATGGTACGAATGAAATATTTAAATTTTGGATGATAATATATAAATAGAATGATATAAAATAGTTTACATGTAAAGCCCCCTTGATTTTTTCTTCTATAACAATCTAGAATGGGAGACTTTGAATGTAATCCACAAGGTAGATATATTGCAAAAATTATGATTTTCATAAAAATTATATAAATAAATTCGTAAATTCACAAATTATATATATATAGTTATGTTTGGCCTAAACAAACGGGTCAATTTTGAGTTGTTTTCAAGTTGACCCAAACTCGACTTGAAAAGTACAACTAGGTCAGAATATAAAAATAAAATCTCACCCATTTTCCAAACTAGTTGATCCAAATAAAAAATTTTCGAGTTAAATTAGGACTGTATTTTTGGGCCGTACTAAATATTGTTAGATGTTTTTGTTAGTAATTTATTATTATTAAATGCCGTGGGTGCCCAAAAGCCCCACAGATATAATTGTTATTAAAACCATGCTTACCTAATCTTTGATCATACATTTGAAAGAGATGACTCATAAATTCAAACTAACTAACCATTAAATTTGATGTAATTTTTATAAATCTCAAGAAATTTAAGTGATTAAAAAAATTAGGAATAAATCTAGCATTATTGAAATTTTTTTAATAAACTTACAATATATATCATTAGAAGAATAAAATAGTACTGAAAACTAATAATTTTAAATTTATAACGCTGAGCTAGATTTCTTCAGTTTAAGTTCATTAAGATATTGATATGTTTAAAATATTATAAAATGATCAAAATAAAAATAATATAAAATAAAATATATATTTTTTCCGCATTTTTTTTATTTTTACTTTATTATATCACTAAAAAAGTGATTAAGTGATTAGTGAAGCTCCATACAACAGTTATAAAATGAAATATCTTATCTTGAGAAAAATTGCCTAAGAAGACAAATATTAATGGTTATCATGAAGTATCTAGTCCCCCTTACGAGAGATTATTGTGTCCGGACACCGGACACAACTTACATTTGGTACTTCATAGTATCTAGTAATACTGCATTTCTACTCGGTATTGTTTAAAATAGTACTTCACAGTATGAGAACAATACCGAGCAGTATCGGACACAACATGAGTTCAGTATTGAACAATACAGAGCATTACTGAGCTCAGTACTGCTGGGTATTGTTTAATACCGAGTAGAAGGAGATGTGGCGCATTTTCATTGGACTCTGAATGTCGTCCGGTGTCCGAACACAATGATTTCACCCCTTCTACAAGCTTTTATCATATCCTATTTCTCATAAAACTTTATATAGAATATATACATTCTCATTAACTTTATACATTCTCATCATATCCTAGAGTTTCAAGACACTGATTTTTTCTTTTTAGGGGAGGCTAGGGGTGTAAGTGAGTCGAGCCGGCTCACGAGCAACGCTCGAGCTCGACTCATTTATGAGCTTGCAAGCCAAGCTTATCAAGCTCATGATTTAAATTTAAGCTTTTTGAGGCTCAGCTCGTGAGCTCGCAAGCTAGCTCGAAAATAATATTTTGAACTAATATTTTTCTTATACTTAAAAGTAATATTAAGTTTTAAAAAAATTAGGTTTGATAACTATTACATCCAACTTTGCAGGTAATGAAAATTCAAAAGTCAATTCATTTAAAGTTAAATGAGTTTTCAAAATACTTAAATAATTACTTAACAAATAATTATTGTTAAATAATATATATATATATATATGCAAAAAAAATCAAAATTTGTGACCAAATTACAAATATCAATAAAATAGTAAAATACTATACAAATATAAATTAATTTTTAGCTCCTTAATCAATATTTCAAACATCATTTATACTTACACAAGGCATCACTCTATTCTATTTTTGATAAATTGATACATCTTATTCTGTCTTAATTGAACCTATGATCACTCTATTCATGCTTTTCTTCCCTACGATCCACAGTGGATTAAACAGCAGATGTTCCAGCACCTCAAGAAACTTGCTTTGAAATAAGATTCAATGACCAAAACTTAAAATTAAAGATATGTTCATCCTTTTGTTTAGCCCAGTCCTCTGCCTTGATGCGCTTCTCTAACTTCAATCTTTGATGAATAAATTATCATAATTTGTCGTTAGATGTTTGGTGACACTTGTGTATTTGAACAAGTTGTGTATAACCTGTAATTCAGACTCTTGATTCAAGTAAAAAATTAAATGAACAGATGGAATTTAATAAAAAAAAAAGAGAATCAAATACAAAAGTAAATAAATTTCTATGATGTAAATGGACTTACAAAATCAAACGACTACCAAATGGTCAGATCGATCGCTACAAAGCCTGTCTTGTAGCTCAAGGATTCAATCAACAATACGACATCAATTACACTAAAACCTTCAACCTCGTTGCTACGGTGCCTACCATCAGCATCTTACTTGCCATTGCTCTGAATCGTCAATGCAATATCTCCCAGTTCGATATTTCCAATGCTTTTCTTCAAGGTGACCTCCCAGACGATGTCTACATGAAGCAACCTACGGGCTTCTCCGATCAACAACACCCAAACTTTGTCTCCAAACTTCACAAGTCCATCTATGGCCTCAAATAAGCCCCCGCGATTATCGTTTCAGAAATTTACTTCATTTCTTCGACGTTTTTTATTTGGGTTTAGTCGTTCCGATCCCTCTCTTATGCTTTATCTTCACAATAGCATTCAACTATACATTTCAATAAACGTTGATGATATTCTACTTACAGTTAACGATCAAACTACCATTCGCTCTGTTCTCCATCAGTTACAATCTCAATTTCAGCTCAAACAGCTGATGGATATCTCGCTTTTTCTTGGAATCCAAGTCCTTCACACTAAGACAGGATTATTTTTATCACAAAGACAACACTACCAATAGTCTACAGATAGCAGGTTTCATAGATTATAAATCAGCCCCCACACCAATCACACTATCATCAGCCTCAAGAAACTCATCCGATCAACCCTTCACGGCTTCACCAACCCCCAACTCTACTGCAAACTAGTCGGCTCTCTTCAATACATATCCATTACCCGCCCAGATATAACCTTCGCCACGAATTCCATCTGTCAACATATGCAATCTCCAACCATTCGAAATTTTCAGACACTCAAACGCTTCCTCAGATACATCAAAGGCATGCTACATTATGGTCTACCGCTACAACACAACAATCTACAACTCCAAACTTATACAGACACAGACTGGGTTGCCGATCCAACTGACTGAAAATCTGTTTCTAGTTTTTGCACCTTTCTAGGCACCAATCTCGTCTCATAGTCCGCCAAGAAGCAGCCAATGATCACAAAGTCATCAACCGAAGCAGAGTATCATTCCCTGGCTTCAGCTTCCTCCGAAGTGCTTTGACTTTGGCGTCTCCTCGCTGAGTTCAAGATAAATCAACAGTCTCCAACTATCATTCACTGTGACAATACCTCGGCCCCGTCTTCCACGACATAATGAAGCATATCGAGATCGATTTCTACTTCTTTCGGCAGCACATTGAATCAGGCGCAATTACAATTTCTCAAATCAGCTCCGCAAATCATATAGCAGATATTCTCACCGAGCCATTTACTCCGTCTAGATTCTACAACCTCCGAAGCAGAATTAACTATTCAATTCATATTAATTTAATTAAGGGGGCCTGCTATAACCATCCACGTCCCTGTACACGTGGACATAGCCGTTACTATTCTTGATGCATTTTACTCTATTCATATCTCCTGTACTCCCTAGCATTTCATATACAATTTCATTCTTCTCCTGTACCTCCCTCTCTTGCCGGCTGGGTCTTTCAGATAACAGATCATTCATCATAACAGTTTTGTGTTTTTCACCTGAAAAGAGTAGAGTAAATTTTCGAAATAAGCAACATTAATAATTAAACTATAAGATTAAGCATGATCGTAAAAAAATTTAATTATAGACAAAGTCGGTCGTTTAAACGGCGACTTAGGTGCGACCAAACGACAGCGTGGCAGCTGATGTGGCGAAGGCAGACTTAAGTATAAGTCGCCCGCGTAACGGGCGACTTATAAGTCGCCGTGTTAAGGGGCGACTTAGGCTTATCTCATTTATTTGCCTTTCCCTTTCCCGATCCCGATCAGAC